CCGCCACATGCTATTGTGGGTCGGGGCGGGTGAGTTTACATTGTTTCAGGAGAGGAACGGTAAGAGAAGAAAAAGAATGCCGACAAAGAATATCCGCGTGGGTAAGGGATGTGGCGGGTAAACATACTCTTACATGTTATTTGAAAGGTATGATATATAATTACACTAAATTGCTTATATATACTAACATTTAGTAACTTTATGAAGTTAATTTGAAAATTTTTTAAACAATTTAGTAGACCCTGCAAATGAGGACCCGACTCGTTGACCCGACCCGACCCGTTGACCCGACCCGAACCCACCCAAAAAATAGATAATGGGTTGAGATTTTTGTAACAAGGCACTTCCATAGACTTCAATACTGTTTTGTGGAAGGCAACAACTTCTTATGTTCTACAAAACTGTGATGAGGTGCAAGATTTTATAAGGTACATATATATACCAATTTTTTATTTGTTGTATGCTAGAATATAATTTTTTTAATTAGTAACATATATTGTGCAACGTAAATTATAGAAATCACAAGGAACAACAAAGTACTCGAGGTGTTCTTATGGTTGAAGAAGCGCATAAGAAAGAATTTGCTAAGTGGCTCTTATTGGAGGTATGTATGTCATATATGATTAATAATTTTGATATAAAAAAATTATTGAAAGCTGTTTTTAATTTTATCCTTACAATTATTGCAGATTCCATGAATGCACAATGATAAGTGTTAGATTTGAATCCTTCTTTGTTATCCTTAGCTCGAGAGCCAGACAAACGAGTCCTGCACTACACATGCAATTGTATCAATGGATTCAGAGTTCACACTCGTACTCGCGAGTTAACCAAAAGCAGCCAGAACACTAGTGTGCTGGTCAGAGGGGAGAACGACGGTGGAATTCCTTACTATGGCGTTCTTACCGACATCATTGAGCTTCGTTATACTGAAGGGCTTTGAGTTGTACTATTTCAGTGTGAGTTGTATGACACCGTTCACAAAGGCGTTGGTTACAAGAAGGATGAACACGACACTATTATCATCAACACAACGCGAAGGCTTAGTACGAATGAGCCATTTGTTTTAGCTAGTCAAGCAATTCAAGTTTATTATGCGCAGTCTTTGAGAGATCCAAATTGGGAAATTGTGGGTGAAACACTACCAAATTTTTTGTTTTAGATTCCTTCTAATGCAGAAAGAGAAAGAAAAGGAGAAGGAGCATTAGAAGAAGCCTATCAAGAAGACAATATTTTAATTGATGATCATGGGGTTCTCCAAAATGAGGGAAATGATTTCATAAACTGGACTAGAGCAGAGTTTGAAGATTAGGACTAATTTGGTCTTGTTTGTAGATCGGCATATATTACCTAATTTCTATTTTTTATAAAGCAGTGCTTATTATAATTACTTAAAAAAGATGTATTTTTTATCAATTCAATCATTTCTAGAAAATGTCATGCTTGTGGATCGGGATATATTTACAAATGCCCGATTTTCATAACTTCCTCCCAGTAATTCTTATGAAGAAAAAACGCGTCGAGGGTAATTAATTTTGTAAGAAAGGTTTTAATTTTTTCTGACAACGTTTTACCGATGACTATGTCATATAGTCAGTAATGACCAATATTTCCGATGCATTTTTCGATCCGTCACAAAAAATCATTTTTTAACCAAATAGTATTGACGAACTGTTTATGGCGTCAAAAATGATTTTTTTCCTGACCAAGCAGTACCGACAAACTGTTTTTTTGCATCAAAAATTATTTTTTTCTAACCAAATAGTGCTTACGAAATTTTAATTGTGTCACAAATAATTTTCTCCCAACCAATTAGTGCTGACGTACTATTTATGGCGTCAAAATTAATATTTTTTTGACAATCGTGTCTTGGTCGTCAATAATAATCATTTTTTTCTGACGGTAATTTTTTACTGGTCAGTAATATTGAGTATTTCTAACGCGGAAAACGAAATCATCAAGCATAACGAATGTTGGAAATTGAAACCAGCCCAGAATACATATTAATGACAAAAAAACACAATTAATGACAAAAATTCAACTCTGTCAGTAATTATGCATATAGTACTGACGAAAACTATTGTTCGTCGGAATTATGCATCTTTTTTGACGCAATTTCTGAGTCGTCAGTAAGTTTTCGTCAGAATTGTCTGCCGTTTTTGTAGTGAATGGTAAGTTGCCACAATAGTGAAGGCTTGGGAGTTGCAGATCCCAGGTTCAAATCCATGCGAGGCCCGTTGGTGTTCCCGGAGGTATAAAGTTGTTGGCATTGACGTCGGATTGAATGCAGGTGAGCCCAAATTTAGTAGGACCCACTATCATAAAGTGGCACGTGGCACTGAGTTTCTGGGTAATAAAATAAATAAAAAAGATGTGATGAATGTTGTCATCCATACATAGCTAATAATGTAATTAATTATAAAATAATAGAAGGGGAATGGTTTTAGGGATCCACGTGCGGAATTGGAGCAGCCAGGGATTAACAATCATTGGGACGTAAGCCCATAATCTAGTGTGTCATAATGACATGGAAAGGCTATCGCCAAATATAAAATGCAGGCCACGCGTGCTTGTGGGCCCACCACACAGTCACGCCCAGAACCGGAACCAGATCTTCAGCGGGCCCCCATCTTTTCAATAAAGGCTTTCCCCATTTCCTTCCCTTCTTCCTACTTATGACCTACTTTCTTGGTACGCCAAGAAATGGGAGCATTACCAAGACGAATGAAAAAACCAGTAGTCGAACGATGAGTACTCTTGCATCCACCCCAATCAGCGTCACAGTAAGCAACCAGATCGAGCTCACCACCGACGGGGAAATAGAGACCCTGTCCTGGAGACTGCTTGAGATAGCGCTGAATTCGAAGGGCATCATCCATATGATCCTGAGTGGGTGCATGCACAAAGCGAATAAGAACGTTCACCCCATACGTGATGTCCGGACGGGTGACAATGAGGTACTGAAGACGGCCAAGTAGTCGACGAAATGGAGACCCGTCAGCCAAGGGGGAGAAGAGGACCGAGTGAGGTGATGATTCTGCTCGATTGGAAAGGAAATGGGTCGAGCTGCCTGTACCCCAGATTCTTCAAGGATATCCAAGGTATACTTGCGCTGACTGAGCATAATACCGCGCGGAGATTGGGCAACCTCAATGCCCAAGAAATAGAGAATAAGACCCAGATCCTTGATGCTGAAATGCTGATCAAGGAAAGACTTGACGTGATTGATGAAACCCATATCGTTGCCGGCAAGAAGGTTATCGTCAAGATATATGAGCGCTCAGAAGATCCAGGACTTGTTCCAGGAGTCTCCTCGCAGCTTCCTTTCTCTGCCCTCTTGAACCCGACACAGAACGCAATCCTTCGTTCTTCAAGGCTTCACTCTTTGCAATCTGCTGGGAAGAATGAAGAGGTTCTGGCTTCTTCTGAGTTCTCTTCAAATGTCGTATTGAATAGAGAGCTTATGTTCTAGAGGAGGGTTCTTCGTAGTCTTAGTACACATGCGGCAGCAGCTATGGACCTGTCTACTTCTGATGCCTTGACTGTTGATAGAATTGTTGCTAGTAACTGGGCCATTCTTGATGAAAGTGAGAGTGATTGGAAGAGCCATGCTGCTGCCATTGCTCAGTCCATTCAAGTCATCAAGAAGCGGTTGCAGGTTATGGCTGTTCTTAGGCTCTGGAAATTCAGGAAGGAATAATCGACTCGACCGTTCAATTTAGAATTGAATTGAACTTATTAGGGGTCGTTTGGATTATGGAATGGGTGGATTGTTGCCTGAAAATTCATTATCTGATGGATTGCTGCTCATCCGAAAACAATACATCGTTACAACCTGAACATTTCATAATCTATACATTTCAAAACCTGCAAGTTCTTGTAATCCATGTATTTGAACAAACCGTGGTGCAAAGCATCCCTTTGTTTCTGGAGTGGCTGAAATTTGAGTTCATTTCCAGTACTCTGGCTGTTAATTTTTGCATGATTTCTAGTTGTTTTGATATTGTATTTGTGATCCATGATTGTAATTTGTGGCAGTGGAAGAAGTTGATGGTTAGATTAGATCTGCTATCAGCACAACTGAATAAGCCAGACCTATGGGATGATCCTGTTCTTGCGGGAAGTTTAAGCCGGGAGCATGGCTCGTTGATGGTCAAGATGATAGAGGTGAAAGCATTGGAACAAGATCTGATTGAGCACATTGATATGATAAAGTTGGTTCGCGAAGAAGCAGAGGCTTCCGACTTGGAATCGGTGGGGAAACCTTGCTTCTTGTTGTTTAGGCATGTGCTCTTTTCCTGGTGCCCTAATGATTAGATTACTCGGTAGAACTCTTACCTGGACCAATATATTGAACCTGCTTATCTCTTGCTTAGCTTTAAATGGTAGTCTTGAACTATTGATCAGAAGGGTCTGCTACTATCAACATGGAACGGCCTAAATACCAATATGTTTACAGGACTCATTTACATATCTTACATTGGACGCTGAATTCAACATTGATACAACTAAGCCCCAAACTCATCCTAATATTTCATCAATATTTGCCGTTAGGGAGATTTCAGTTTTTTTACTCGGCTTAATGCTTAATGTGATACACATGAACATATTATGTCACCAAATTGTTATTTAACCAATTTGGACCTATCATGTGTAGCTTTAGCATGATCAATGACTTGTCACGTGCTTGCTCTGCAGGAATCATTGAAAGCCTTGCTTGAGATGAAAAGAAATTCCACAGAGAAAGAGCTTGAAGCTTTGTTGTCTGCGGTGCATGATTCTTGCTCGTTCTAAAAAATTGATATTCTCCCCATCCTCGAACAGATGAGGTTTTTGCATACCCGCCCATGTATCCAGTCCATGAAATTCCATGTTATCTTTTTTTATCAAGTTCACTCCCGTTAACCAAACATGCCTAAATTTGAGATTTCTTTTGCTACCTTATCAGACTAGATGGTGAGTATGCATTTGGCTATGCAAAAGCAAAAGTAGGAGTCCACATGCTGGTTCGAATCTCCCCTTTCGACGGCAGTAAAAGGCGGCACGCATCATTTGCAGCAGTAGCCGTGATTCCAATTCTTGGGGAAGGGTTCACACACGTTCAGATCAATGAATCCGACCTACGAATCGAACGGTTTCGGGCTGGGGGAGCTGGTAGGCAGCACGTTAACTCGACTGAGAGTGCTGTGAGGATAGTTCATATTCCAACTGGGGTAACTGCCACATGCCAGAACGAAAGGTGAAACTTCTTAACGACTAAAGCTCAAGTTATTACCTTTACATGTTTGTCAGGGTTAAATCCCTGAGTTCTCTGTAGGATCCAAATGTTGAAATGATTCTGCTTGGACGGATTCGCTGCAAATCACAGCATATGAACAAGGCATCAGCTATGTCAGTGCTTCAGTCGCGGCTAGACCATCTTGAGATAGCGAGGCAGGCCCAGGTGAATGCTCAACACACTCTCAATCATTGACGGAAATCAGCTGGGGCAATCAAATTAGCATGTATGTCCTTCATGTAAGTGATCACAGAACCATTTCTTAAAACTTCCATGTTTACTGGTCTCTTTGTAGAGAACTATCACTGTTTTTTTGAGTAGCTCAACGAATGTGACATTTTGGGTTTGCTTTGTGTTTCTCTCCAGCCATACCGTATGGTTAAGGATCTCCGAACCGGGCACGAGGTTTCAAACTCGGATCCAGTGCTTGAAGGAGAGCTAGACGGCTTCATCTTGAGCTATCTCTCATCTTCCTTGGATAAAGATGATGAACACCAATAACCCCTTTTGATAGGAGTAGAGTAGTCCTAATGAGGGTGTAGGGAAGATTCAAAGGAAGAGAGTAATGTATTGTTGTTGGATAGATGATACTCTTGATGAATACTGATCATTTTGTCTCTAATGAAATCGAGTATAAGTTTCTCCACATGAGGATTTGTTCCATTTAATTCTAATTTTATACATTTAACATTTTCAATGATAATGTACTTCATCCTAATTCATACCAATTAGGATCACATTAAGAGCCAATTACAACTTACAAGGCTTTACAACTTTTAAGTTATGGGCTTCAGATGCCGAGGCCTCCATTAAAATTTAAAGGCTACGACTTTCATTGTGGGTTCTATTCTGACGAACGCGAAACCTCTTCCCACTACTCAGCTACCGTTGCCCGCCAAACGGTCAAAGGCCAGAGAAATGTGGGTAAACGACATCGTATTAGCCTCTCCGGACTGTAAATTAGAGCGAGGAAATCAGATAAGTTCCCTTCTTCGCCATTCTCTGTAGAAAGAATCAGAAGAGTAGCAGCTGGGTTGGGGGGGGGGGGGAACTAAAAAGGGAAAAAAATCAAAAAAGGTTCAGAAGGCGGCGCCTTTCATCGTCCACCTCGCCAATTCTGCGCGAACACTCTTCACACTGCTGTGGGTGTTTGTTGCGGCAGACCCAGCTCGTGTTGGCGCGTAGTTTTGTTGCAGGTGCTAATTCTCTTTTCGTCCTCCTAAAATTGCTGGTTTCTTTTGAGGCCGAGGGTATTCGATCTTTATGTCCCCCTTTCTTCAATGGGTTTCGAAGGTAGGGAATTGAATCTTACTGTTTTCCGGTGTTGGGTTATTTGTTGTTCCTTGTTTGCCGATAGATAAGAGTGAGAAGATTGGCGGGAAGGACGAAAAGAAACCAAATTCATCCTTTCTAGGGTTCTTATTTTCTGGTTTTGTTGGGACTTGGGAGGGTTCAGATATGGAGGCATCTTCTTCTTCGTCGGTGATATCTCCAGAAGACGTTTTGGAATGTCTGATGAATGACGACACCATTGATGCTCTCAGATTGAAGATCATCAACTGCTTGATGTTATTCATTCAAAGTTCAATCGAATCCTAATAGTTGCAATTTCCACGTTCTTTTCATTTGTAGAACTCCTGTGCTCGAGAAGGCTTCGAAATCGGTGTGGGAACTGATTCTGGACAACAATGAATTGGGGAAAGAAATAAGTGACACGGTTGAAAGAGTGTTCTGCAAATTAAGCGGCCAAGAGCCTCCGTTATTTCCACCTCCGAGTAATCATGAACCACAAGTTTCTAGGGACAAAGAGAACAAGGAAGAGACAAAGAAAGAAGAGGAGTAAACGATAGCAAGTATGAAGGAGAAATCTTTGTTGAAACATCCGAAGAAAAGGCGGCACAACGACATGAACATGGAGAAAGGTGGCGCTGCTAATGAAGTTGCAAGAAAATCAGTTGATGATCGATCGAGTAAATATCCCATTCAAAGACTTTGAACCTTGCTTAGAGTAGAATGAGATCATTTATAAGAACAGAGAATTTATTGATTTGGTACCTTCGCTTTCATTGAACGTTTTTTACAGTCATAGTTTTTGAAGTCTTTCTGCAGAGAGTTTAGTTTACTTCTCAAGTGCAAACTTATGAGTTGAAAGATAATCTGTTTACATGTTGGAATGGAATTCAATTTGAGTCTATATGACCCTCCTCGCTACTTATTTGGGTGAATTATAAGCCACAAAGACTTAAACACGAGAAATATCTATCAGTAAACTCTTTCGCCGATTAAAATACCAATTTATCACAATAACTCAAATGATACCATATCTTACTTTGCCATTGTCACAAGAAAAGTTGAGATGAAATTCCATTTATTCTGATTTGTTTCAGTTTCTGCATTGCATTTGAGAGATTGACTCGCTGTTACTGTCACCCTAGAAAATGGCCAAGTATAACCACTTCCTAAAGCGTAGTATAGCGGGTCGGGTTTTAATGTCAACCCGGGTCCTAGATGTGATGACTACTTGGTGAATTCTTGTTATTCAGCGGTGAACTTTTAGTGCAACTCAAGCAAACAGAACACAAAGCAAGTAAACGGTTTGTTGTCAAGTCAAGAGAGGTCACCCGGATATGGTTCCCCCTAGACTGCAGTTTAGTCGGATTGTAATTACCAAGTTCAGTTTTCATGAAAGTTATACTGCGGAAGGTTCTCAATTAGCCTGAAGTCTCGACTAAAGGTCTCCAGACCCTCTCAATCTGAGTCTCTAGCGGGCGACTAACCTCCACCGGAGTAAACAGATTGAGGCCCTAATGAACCAAACCTCCACTACCGAATTAACTTCGGTACAGAATAGCGAATTGGCTCCTCGACTAAAGTCACCAATTCGCCACCTTCGATTAAGGGTACTCTATCAACCTAGGCAGATATTCTCATTCTAGGTCAAAGCAGAAACAACAGGAATTTGATCAGGATTCAAGTCATTCAATCATTCAAACCTCAATCGAATATAATCAATTCACAAACCCTGTACTTGGGTTCATACAATCAGACCTAGCATACAAATCTAGGGTTCTCCATACCCAGATGAATGGGGAAACTACTCCATAGAGAAAGAAGCAAAAGCATATTCAGACGCGGAAATCATACTGTGAAGTTGGATTCCTGCTCCTGGACGTTTAATCGCACTTCTCCAAGCTCAAACCGGGCTCCAATGGTGTTGAAGATCGATCTATGGCGCTTGGGAACTCTGGTTCGTCGCTTTCTCTCTCTAGGAATCGATTTCTCTCTCAAAAACTCGGAACCCTTCAATTTTGGCCTTCTTCCTCCTTAATAAGCTGCCTGGTCGCGATACCCGGTCGGGTATTTTGGGTTTCGACCGGGTATCTCTGCAGCGCACCGTTTCGCTTAAGGGAAGAATCCCCTGTCAATCGCCATAATCCCCGACCGGGGATTTTGCTGCTGTGCCCGGGCCCCTCTCTGCTTCTCGGGCGCCCAAAAGTGGTGAATACCCGGTCGGGTATTTGGCCACCTGACCGGGTATTTTCCTCCTTTAGCCCTATCCGTCCCAACTTTGCTCCTTTCGACCCAGAACTCGTTTCTCCGCCTCGATTCCAACGCCGGGACCTGAAATATGACATAAACACACAACCTAGCGTGAAATCGGCTTAAAATACGAGATTCCTCTTTACAAACGGCTTCAGAATAGGGGTGAAAACATGTATAATTATCGGTCTATCAAACTCCCCCACAATTAACCGTTTGCTTGTCCCCAAGCAAACCAAGTCAGACACTAGGTAAGCTTTCATATTTCAATCAACCAACATTGGGGACAAGTCATAAAGGCACAGCACACGCGAATCGCACTGGGTTTCAAACATCAATACATGCACAACCTCAATAACAACCTGGACAACCACCACAAAGGACATTCGAGTGCAGCAAATCGAGTAAAGGAAGAGTCTCCCTTCTGTTCACTGGCCAACCTAGACTTGATTCAACCACTTACTCAAAACAGTCAACTCATGCATCCAACTCAAGACATCAGAATAGAGACCGAGCAATCTAGGTCCTCACCGGGGTACAAGAGCATATAGAAAATGAAAATGAATCACTCACTCTCCACCAGTGGGGTCAGGACAATCTGATGCGAAAGATGCGCATGCTATTTCTCTCAATCCCTATCATCTCTTCACCATGATGGCAGCCTCTAAATGCTAGAGTTCACATATGGGGTGTCACCACTAACTAATCAGGAGGTCTTAGACACAGGTTCAAATGACTGGCTAGGGTCTTGGACATGGGGAAAAGGCCTTTTAGGTGGTGGAAGTATTCATAGCAAAAGGTTCCACATTTCCCAAACACACAATCACAGTCAAACAACCCGGTATTTTCTTTCTGCTATTCTGCATTACTCAATATCTTAAGAGCACAAGAGCGAAGGAGGCATAAACATCAGCATTTCCAAGCCAGACTGCTAAGAAACACTGCTTACTGGGCATTATTCAGATTTTTGGTAGTGACTCTCTTTTGCTTTCAAATTTTTGCTTTGTTTTTCTTTCATTTTTCTTTTCATTTCTTAAGAGAGCCACCACTTCTGCATAAATTTCAAACACCTGCCCAACTTGTAAGCACTACCTCCAACACTCACATAGACTTTAGCAGAAACAGCAGAGAATATGTAAAAACCACTCTGTGGAACCTTCTAAAAGATGCAACAAGGGTGATTTTTTCATTATAAACCAAAAGAAAGGATAACACACGGCTCAAAGGGGCTGACTAGGGGATATGACACATCAGGACAGTCAGTTTTTGGGCGTGGGCTAATCCTATGCCCCCATCATCTTAGCTAGTGACAACGTGAATGCTACACATCATGGAAGAGGGATCTATCGCACAAGAAAGAAACGAGCAGGCTCAAATCTCACATGGCTACCTATATGCTCTATCTCACATTCTGATACCCTGAACTAGATGCATAAACGACTGTCAAGGACAAGTAATCAGATCAAGTCAGATCAAGTCACAGTTGGCAAGCAAACAGTTGACAAACTGAACCCCTACATCGTTTTACTGCACATCTCAGTCCTCATCATAGGTTGTCCTAGTCGCAAACAAGTTGTCATGCATTAATCCGAAAACCAATCAATTCATCCATCAAAACACAGTGCCAATATGATCAAACAGCAGTACTTGGAGCCCTCAAATCGTAAGATTTGGACAGTGGACTAGGCTCCAAGAACACAAACAGAGCTAATGCAGTCAAAAGATAAACATCCCCCCCACACTTAAGATCGACATTGCCCTCAATGGAGAAGAGGGAAGGAAAGGGGAACGATGTTACCGGTATGCACAGATGGCAGGAGACTGGAAATGGACCAGTCGGCATGGGACGGACAGGACAGAGGACCAGTCGGGAACACAGGCAGAGCTAAAAGAGACCAAAAAGCCCAAACACATACGTTAGGTCCAACGGTCAGCCCAATAGTACAGAACCCAGAATGAAAAGAAACAAAAACCGACACAAAACAGACAGTCTGCATGCTGACACAGATAAAAACTCTCAAAACATGCCCCTAGGGCCCTCCGAGACCGGAGAAATCAATCTGATCCATAAGGTCGTCGACGCCATCATCCGGAGGCTGCCGTGGTGGTGAATGCTCCCACCGGGTGGTCCAGTGGTGCTCCGCGGGAGGGTGGCAAGCCTGGAGCAGATGCTCGGAATACTCCATCAGACGGCGGCCTCGGTCTCTCTCTCGCTCGATGAGAGCAGTAGCGTGTCCCATGTGGGTCTCCAATCGGCCGAGGCGCTCATCGACGCCCGTCATCCTGGACCGGTACTCGGCCTGGTGGGCCGAATACTACTGGTAAAACTGGACCTGATGGTCCATGAGCTGCTGGTTCTGAAGACCAAGCTGCTGGAACTGGAGCCCCATCTGCTGGAACTGCTCCGTGAAGAAGTCCATCGACGGACCAGAAGGACCAGAGGAGGACTCACCTCTCACTAGTCTCCATCGAGGCTGAAGATCCCCAGGGGGGGAGAGCGGGGGCTCCGGCTCATCGGCATCCATAGCGCCGTCATCATCATCATCAGCATCCTCATCTACCTCCTCGCCTACGTAGTCATCATCTTCCTCGTCCTCATCAAGATCCACAACCTCCTCGGGGGGCATAGAGAGCCCATCCACCCAGGTGCGGATGTCGTCAGTGGCCAGGAGGCGTGCACTGTGGAGCACGTCCCGGCTGAGGGGTGCGGAACCACCCTGCTCGGTCGCATCGTGAAGCCCCTCGAAGCTGATCCCGAAGTGGCGGGCCAATCGGGTGATCAGAGGACCACAGAAGAGGTGGGTAGGATTCCCGCGGACTCGGGAGAATGTGGTGGCCACGAAAGATCCCAAGTGGAGCATGTCCTCCGGATCCCCCATACAGGACATGGCGTACAGGACCCGCTTCGGGACCTTGTGCGAGCCGGTGGCGTTGGGGACGATCGAGCGGGTGATGAGCAGGTTCAGAATGTGCCACTCCGGCCTGAGGGTGCTGACGTAGGTCTGGCCAGCCACGAAGAAGTCATCCCGATAGGCGAACCTGACGACCTCTCTGTAGAAATGATCCTGGTGCCAGTCGGGCGGGTTCGGGAGCTCGACCGTGTGGCCATCGAACGGGTTGTACTCGATCCCCAATGCTGAGGCCAACCCGTCAATGGTCAGCTGTCGGGGACGGCCACCCAACCGGAACTTCACTGCATGGGCGTCCCGAGGCTTCTTCTTGTCGTACTCGAACGTGGTGTAGAACTCCCACACCAGCTCCGTGTAGGTGGGCTCGTCAATGGCAAGAAGTGTCCGCCAATCG